TCTCTGATTTATAATGGTCCGTTTTTGCTTTGTTGTGTTTTGTACTGTTGTTATTTTTTTTACACTGATGTCTTATTTGGTTCCCCTATATTCCTGCTATAAGTGAAACCATCTGATATTTTTCTTTTTCCTTCTGAGTATGTGCCACATCTTCTAGATCCAGTCTTCTATTTCCGGGCATTTGGATTGTTTCCAGGTTTTACCTATTGTAAATAGTGCTGCAGTAAACATAGGGCTACAGGTGCTCTTTTGAATCAATGTTTTTGTGTCCTTTGGTTAGACCCCTATTAGTGGAATTGCCGGATCATATGGTAGCTCCATTTCTAGTAGACTGAGGAACCTCCACACAGCTTTCCACAGTGGTTGGACCAGTTTGCACTCCCACCAGCAGTGTAGGAGAGTTCCTTTTTCACCACATCCTCGCCAACATTTGTTGTTGCTTGTTTTTTTTTTTTGATATGTGCCATTCCTACTGGTGTAAGGTGATATCTCAGTGTGGTTTTGATTTGCATTTCCCTGATTATAAAGGATGTTGAACATTTTTTCATATGCCTGTTGGCCATTTGCATTTCCTCTTTGGAGAAATATCTTTTAAGTTCTTCTGCCCATGACTGGGTTGTTTATTTTGTTTTTGTTGAGTCACGTGAGTTCTTTGATCAGTCCTTCACCCAGGTCCCTGTGTTTGTGTTCCTGTGCACATGGGCACACACAGTGTTCGACAAACTATTTCTGCAAAAGTACACACAATTGATATTTTGGGTTTTATGGACCACATGGTCTCAGTCTCAACTACTCAGCTCTGTTAGTGGAACATGAATGCAGTCATGGACAACACTTAAATGAGTGGGCATGGCCGAATTACAATAAAACATTATGGGACTGGAATTTGAATTCCATGTTTTCACACATCATAACATCTTATTCTTCTGAATTTTTTGATCAGCCACTTAAAAATGTAGCAAACACTATTAGTTCACAGGCTGTATAAAAACAGGTGGTGGGTCCATTTTGATCCACAGGCCATAGTTTACTGATCCCTGGTATGACAGATTCCCTCCCTGACACAGAAAATGTCCTTCCCCTTTATCACCATCTGAGCCAGGAGAACAGCTCAGTGATTTTGATGTGAGCACGGTGCTGAGTGAGGAAAATGAGGGGCAGTGAGGAAAATGAGGAGTTGTCTATGAGGAGCAGACAGTGTGGGCGTAGAAATGTCTGAGATCAATGAACTTAATCCATAGTTCATCTGGGTGTTGTCTGCATTGCTTTCATTTTGGAATTGCTGGAGGCCTGGTCCAGGGGTAGTGGTGGGTTAAAACATGCTGATGCCTAGATCCCATGCTCAGAGAGTCTGGTAGCATTAGTGTTGGGTATATTCTGGGCATGGGAATTTTTAAAATTGCCCCAGGTATTTCTGATACGCAGCCAAGTGCAAGGGCCACCATCTCATACAAGACTGTTGACAAGGACATAGCATTGGGGGAATCACAAAAGACTGGAAGGTTGAGCTATATTCAACTTTCCCCTTTTATTTCTCATTTTTAACATCTCTACCCTATTGAACAGGCTTAGTTAACTTCCTCTCTTCCCTCACTTGTCTTTCTTACATAGTCATTTGTAAATCTGAAATAACTCCAAGGCAGAAAAGTTCATAAACTGCACAAAGAATATTCTACATTGTCTTTGTTGTGCTGCTCACTAGCCTCATTGCCCCAGGGTTAGTCCCTCTCAAGTGAATATTGCCTTTTGGTTCTTTAGGGCAGCACCTGTGTGACCAGGCAGGGCCACACTCAACATTGTCAGCCTAGCCTGGCAAAGTTGGATCCTGGGAAAGTCTTTCCTGACTGCAACTCCTGGGAGACTATTAGGTAAACCAGAAAGACAACTCCTTAAATTACAGTCTCTGCTCCTTTACCTTGGCTCCTTAATCTAGAAATGTATACATCTAGGAAGCCATTATCAAAGTTTGTGCCAGTAGGAATTAGAGGTAACAAAATGGAAGGATTTTTAAGTATGTTTCATGAAATGACTCTTTCCTACCCTAGGAGTTGTGTCTTTCAGGTAACCCAGATTATCTAAGCTCCCCAGTATCCTATCCCCACACGTTGGGCTCTATTAGAATGAGATCAGTGTATCTCTTTCTTGTCAGTTTCCCCATAAGTCCAATGTACCTGGAAGGTTCATTGGCACTGATTTCTAATATTTCTAGTTTTGTAAATAATTTCTGAATTAACATTGGTTTACAATACTGCATATGATTCAGAAATATAGGATCCTACCTGTTCAGATGTATGTTACCACATCACAGTGTAGGGACAGGAAGAGACAGAGCAGGATATCTATGATTTGAGCAGACGGGGTAAAGGAGGAGAGTTCTGGAGCCTTCAGTGGCTTTTGCAGGCCTTTACTGGGATTTATCAGGTACACAGCAGGCAGGGGTGCCAGGGGGGGAGGGGGCACCAGCAAGTCTTCACTCTGCCTAGTGTTCTCTCGTGGTCTCTGCTTCTCTTTCACTCATCTCTCTTTCGCTCCTTTTGCTCTGCTCTTTCCGTGACATCGCCCTTATAAGCCCAGTCTCTCAGCCCAGGTGTATCTACCTACACATGCCCACACCCCACTCCATGTGCCCGCCATCAGGCATGCATTCATGACCACAGGGTTCCATCATCAATCCTAATGGTGGGAGGGCAGAAAAGCCTGATGCTTTTTTTTACCTTACCCTACAACAGCCTCCACCAAGGCACCCATAGTCCTTCACTCTTTGCTCCCCTCAGTTTTACTGAACTTTGTAGGGTTGGTTTTGGTTTGATTTTGCCTTACTCTTTGTTTTCTCTATATTACACCTATGATCAAAAATCTGTTATTTGTCTTTCTCCTTCTGGCATATTTCACTTATTTAAATACCAGCAACATGATATCTAAATCAAAAATAACTGTCCTAATTCAAATTTCAACTTTTCTAATTTAGACTTGAAGCTTTTCTCTTATTTAAGTGGCAAAGATACATTTTTACCATTTTATGTCATATTTTTAAAAAAGATTTATTTATGCGTACAAGAGCTGGGGTACAGGCCAGAGGTGGGGGGTGAGAGGATTCACCAGAGCCAGAGTGGGGAGCAGAACAGGCATAATGACCGAAGTACACTGCTGAGGGGAGCAGCAGGCGAGTCAGGAGAGGTCTGCTGCATCATGTGGGTTGTTCCCTGGCTGGCCAGGGATCAAACTCGTGCTGCGGCTTCAGAGGTTACATCTTAACTGGTTGCACCACCAGGGAGGCCCTTATGTCATGTTTTTATGTCATATTTTATATAACATCTAAAAGGGTTGACATTCAAATATTAAGGATAGTCTGCCTCATTAGACTAAATCTGATCAACTGAAACAGCCAACTGTGAGGAAAATATTTTGAGAGAAGCTCACAGTAAATGCCAAGCACAAATGTGAAAAGTGTCTGGCATTTTTGATATAATACTTCTGGCAACAGTTCCTTCCAGCAGCTGTCTTACAATCACAGGAACTTTTTCCTTATAACAGGTTAGCCTCTTAATGTCATCTCCACAATGAATCCACTTCTGCCAAAGCTTCTACATAAACAGGACTTTAGGTTCTAGCAAGTTGAATCAATGTTGGGGACTTTTTCAAAACTTCTAGTTCTGGGAGACCCTTTCAGTATAGACACAAGAAGAAAAATCCATAAATTCCTTTAAATTGTAACTGATTGGCTCCTTTTTATTTTTTTTTTTTAAGGAGAGTTTGCCTAAAACAGTAGGGAGAGAGATGTGTGTACTGTGTTCTAAAGCAGAGAACTTACAGTCAGAGCACAGCATCACTCATTAGGTCTCTAAGCTCCCTTCTTTGTAGGACTAAGGAGATGAACAGAATCACCTAGAAAGACATCAATATGGTTAACTCTTGTCAAATGTGGGAATGTAGCTCCTGAAATAGGAGGGCTTAAAAAAACACCAATGAACATGGGATTTCAAAATGAATCAAGTTGTTCCATCACAAAATTTTATTTTGTTGTCAGAATGAAAAGACATAGTCCTGAATCCCTCCTGAGAAGAGTCCAATGGTACAATAATGTATTCAGTGTCCTAATTAGAAAGAACCCAGACACTGTTTCTGTGTAGTATTAAAGAATACTATTCTGAAAATTTTCATAGTTCTCTTAAATCCAAGATATGAACTCCTAGCTGTGTGATCTTTTGATTATCTTCTTAATAGCTTATTCTACCAATGTTGAACTCATCCATTTTCCTTAATCATAACTGAATGGAGTTTAATCAGTTTTAGCAAACGTGAAAGTCAGTCAAGCTCATTTACCAAATGTCATTGTTTTTATACCACATTTATTAAATATAGACCATGATCCAGACACTAAAACAATACAAAGAAAAAATATATGACTTTTGATTACTATGTACTGAGTGCCTCCTCTGACCAAGGCACTCTGAAGGTGCTGGCTATATGGTAAATACATTATAAGGCCATCCCCAGGGAGCTCACAGTTAAAAGAGACACCAAGGTCCTTGTATGTTGATCAGTTAGGGAACCAAACAAGACATTGTGTAATCAAGGGCTATATAATTTGGCGAAGACTGTAAGCCAATATGAACTGAGTAAAACAAAAGTTCACAAAGCCTGTTATTGACAGGAAAGGCTGGATGAGGGAGGCTGAACTTTATCTGGTCCTTGAAGGATGGGGAAAATTTGAACAGGCAGCATCAGCAATAGGGCGTATTAGGTGGGAAAAGTGTGAACAAAAATACAAGCATGAGCTTGGTGAGAGTAAAGCTTAAAGGCCAAGACCCTGAAGTCAAACAACTGGGTAGAACCTAGCAAGCCCCTGAAGGTGCTTGAGGAGGAGGGTGACAGTATGGCCACCGCGTGGCTCTTCGTGTGGCCTGCAGGTTGCCTCATTTCCTTATGACCTCTTCCCTGACTGTGTCTTGGGTTGCTGCTTTGCTTCCATGTTAAAGTCAGAGTATTCTCTCATTTAGGGGGAGCACGGGTTCATCAGATCTCAATGAGCAGGAACCTGGGACACCAAAGAGCTGCCGCAGCAATGGTATCACTGCAGTCACTCAGAAGTCACCGGCTCCCAGCTCACGCAGTATGACCTCAGGCAGCAATAGAGTGAGTACACAAATCTGAACGGATGCACAGCTCCAGGACTTGGCCTTGTGTCTGTGGCAGGGGGGATTGCAGCCCTGTAACTCGAGGTGTGTTATTTGTGCTGCTTAATGGTAGGTGCTGCTTTATCAGCCCTGACCGTCCCACACCCCGAGCTCTTGGTAGGAAGTCTAGAGCAAGGAGGAAGGGAAAGGAGGGGGGTTCAGAGGTGGCATTTGTATGATGGTTGGTTATGTGGCTTATATGATTTCTTTTCTTTTAAAAGATTAATTTTCTTATGCATGCAAGAGCTGGGGTACAGGCTAGAGATATGGGGGATGGTGGTGAGAGGATTCGCCAGAGACAGAGTGGAGAACAGAACAGGCAGATCTACTGAAATACACTGCTGAGGGGAGTAGCAGGTGAGACAGGAGAGATCTGCTGCGCCATGTGGGTCACCTCCCTGACCGGGGATCGAACTCATGCTTCCAAGGTTGCCTGTAGCTTCATAGTGCTGTGCTCAACCCCTTTCAATACCAGGGAGGCCCTATGGCTATATGACTTAAACCAGGTATAGTCTTTAGAAGTGTCTCATTTTGAGCTTCCATGTAACTTCTTAGATTTTAGATTTTTCTAAACTGATTTATGTCAAGAAAGGTAGTATCTTGAGATCTTTTTATACTTTTCGTTTCTATGCTCTATTAAAATAAGGGATCAACACACAATGAACTTGTATCATGCAGTTCATTTTATATACAATGGAAGTCATTCTCTTGAATGAATGAGCATCTACTAGATTTTTTTTTAGGCAAGAGTCACCAAACATATTAAGCAAGAAACGTAACATCTATATTTAAGAAATCTTTGTAGATGAACTATAATTCTTTGACTCAGTCAACATTTAATGAAAGCCTCCTGTATGCCAGACCCTGGTTAAGCAAAGACTTAAAGGAAGCAAAAGAATTAGCCATATAGGAGTCTGGCTCAAGGTGTTCCTCTAGGCAGGACAACGTTAATACACAGCAGGTACCTGCAGGGAAGACTGTTTCAGTTCCTCATGCTACTTTCCACCTTGAATGGTGAGTGCCCTTGCTCAACCAGTATCTAAAATATTTTTTACATGTGCAGATATTTTAATTTGTTTATTCAGGTAACATTGCTTTACAACAGTATATAAGTTTCAGTTGTGCATCAGTGGAAGTCAGCCTGTATATGCACTCTAATAAATGCCCCTGGAGAAACACCAGTCCACAGACCAGGAGCTTGCCTGGTATGTTCAAGGAAGAGCAAGTGGGCCAGAGTGGCTGTTGTGAGTATACAGAGGGAGGATTACTAGGGAATGAGTTCAGACAGTTGAATCGGATCTCTTGTAAATGCTGATAAGGGCCTTGCCATGCACCAATATTTCATTCCAGAAATGGCATAACCAACCATGTTTTGATCACCCAATATGGTAGATGGAAAAAGTGGCATATCTTCTGTTAAATGGGGTAAAAGAGGTAATGGGGGTTTGGAGACAGAGGGTGTTGCCAGGGCAAACATGGAACCAGAGTGCTAAGCCTGAATGGCCAGATTCTTGTACATGGTTTGTGCACGTACCTTTACCATCTTGTTTAGTTACCATACATTAGAACACTCATTAATTTTGTGAATGGAAAAATTTTTTGAACACTTTTTGTGCTAATTAATAAAACTTTCTATGTAGATTTTTGACAGTAATTGTTGATAGTAAGTTTTAATAGTTGTATGGACTCTGACGAGGGTCTTCCAAACTCTGCTAATGGCTGATACACATCAGTGTGTTTATATTCAAGTACATTTCTATGGAAGGATTTTAAAGTTAGGTAAAGTCCTTTGGTATAATGCTTGTTTTCATTTTACTTTGTGGGAAGGAACGTGCCTTTGACAATTCCATGGATTTGGCTGCTGCTGAAAGCATCTCTGAGGACTTCACAAAGAGCCATCGCAGAAATACTTCTGGCACACCCTCTATAGCAGTGTCCAGGGCCTCCCTCTCCTCAGGTAGGTATTTACAACATGACTATTCTGTCATAGAATATGAATAAATTAAATGGAGTTGACTGCTATGTATAACAGTAAAATGGTTGTTTCATGCCTTAGAAAACAGTCACCCATTCTTTGACCACCCACAGTGTTGGACCCATGCCATAAAGACTGCTTGAATGTAGACACAAGTGATGCCTTGAGCCTCTTGCATTCATGCAAAACCCATTTATTAAATGTCTACTCTTGGCAGCCATCACTCTCAAGTTTCAGAGTTATACCAAATGCTGAGAGTGGAGTGTAGGAAATGTTATTTGTTCATTCAATATGAAAGCTCAAGTACACCAAGACTGCAAGGAAATGGTAGCTCAGTTGATATGGGTGATGAAAGTTCCCTGTATCTAGACAGCGTTATCATTTCATGGTTGAAATAAGGAGTTATTTGCAAGCAGCATTAAGGTGTTAACAGTGATTCCTTGCATTTGTATGGTACGTTCAGGTATATCATGACTTGATCATTACAGCAACTCTTGTAACCCACAAAGCCATTTTATTACCTATGCTGAAGGAAACTCTTCAGAGAAATCTGCAGAAAAAGTTATTATAATTATGATGTTTATGTGCCATGCAAAGAATTAAAATAATGACAAGATCCTCAACATGGCAAAAGTGACCTGCTATCTAATGAATTGTATTCTCATGAAGCTTAAGGCCGGATTTTGAGTTAGGGAGTCCCCTAGCCAAGTAGCTCCCAAAGGATTCTCTAAATGTGTGTGGTTATTGTTGCTTTTTGTTCAGAATTAAAAAACCAGTTCACCTATTAAACGAAATTTTTAAACTAGCCTGAAGGTCAATGTCAGACTACTTTTATTTGCATGAAGTTTGCATAACTCCTGTTTATTGAGCACTTACTGTGTGTGAGGCACTATGCTAAGTGCTTCTACATGTTTTCATTTACCATTTCATACTTAAGTACTTGGCTGCTCTTTTCAGTCTTTCTCATTTATAAACAGCCATATCTCAGTGGGGCTTTGACATAGATCTGTCTTGGCAAGCTCTGAGTTGTGCTTTATTCTTTAACTTACAGTTTTAAAAGGAGGAGATTCTGTTGGTAAAAAATGCTCAGCTACCTAAAGAAAACTTTCTCTCGGTTTACCTATAGGCCACTCCCTTTTTGTGTAAAAGGAACAGCCTGTGTCATTTAGTTGCATTTTATGACAAATATGAAAACACAGTGAATTTTCTAAACATTTAAATCAAGAATGGTTAATGTTTAATTTTTTCTGAGAGTTTTTTGAAGTCTCTAAACAAAGCAGAGCCTTAAATAGCTTAAAAATGAGCATTTTATAGTAGAGCATTTAACCTCCTATGATCGAAAGAGACATAGGTGCATTTGGTAATTCAGTCCAAGAAAATTCAAAATAATATAGGAAAATGGATTTACGTTAGCATGAACAGTATGAAATTACTGACTCTGACTATTGCTTTTATGATACTATGTCTTATGTCTAGATAGAAGTAGAATGAAGATGAAACATTTATAATGAAAAATGAAGCCTTCTAACAAAACACGCTGATTCATATCTTTCTTTTTCTCTTCCTTTCTTCTAGACCGGAGTCGATCTGAGCTAGATTTGAGTGGGTCATTTACAGAAGACTTAGAGGATACTGTCAGCATAAGAAGCAAGTCTGTCTCTGGGACTTTGGACAAAGATTTGGTAAGAGGGATGCACAAGAATAAGAGTCTGATAATAATAACTAAGGCTGCAATCTTTTCTCAACCTGTCCATTTTCAGATGATGATGAGTTGAGAGTAAAGTAAGAATGGATAATCATCTCTCCCTGTTAGCTTTTACCATCCACATACAAAACAACTAAATAATGATTTGGAAAAGTCAATAGGTTTTCAGGTTAATGAGTGAAGATTATCTCTAAGTAAACCTCTATTGTGGATTTCAATTCTTGGATAAAAGCAGATCACTTAATTTAAACCTGGAAAACCTGGAAAACAAGGGGTCTCAACATATCCTAAGCCAGACATTTCTAGATTTATTTGACTACATATTCTGTATGAATATTTTTACATCTCAGGTATTCCTAATAAGCTGTCTTCTTACTTGATACTAAATTATGTGAAAATTAATGTTTAAGTAAACTCATTTATAAAATGAGAAGGTTGAATTAGATTATTGTTATGTCTCCTTCCAGTTCTAATATTCTGATATTATGATTTCTGTAATTGCCATAATGCAATTTGAATTCCTTGCAAGAAAGATATAACACAAAAGTTAAATGACATTAATATAATTTTTCCAAAGCAAGCTGGGAAACTTATTGTTCTAAAATACAATGTTATTTATTATCATATAAAAAAACTGGAAAAGTATTCTGTGATTCACCACAAGAAGAGAGAGTAATACATTCAAATGGTTTCAAAGGTTACTTGTATTCAGCCTTTAAAAAACATCTGAAAGCTTCAAAATCATAGTATCACCATTATCACCTTAATATTCAAACTGGATTTATCACAGGTCTACAAAGGTATTTTAAAATAAACTTTTATTTTAGAATAGTCTTACATTTATGGAAAATTGATAAATCAGAATTCCCATATATCCTGTACCCATTTTCCACTATTGACATCCTATATTTGTCATATTTGTCACAATTAATGAATTGATATTGATATAATCAGCTAAAGTCCATACTTTATTCACATGTCCTTAGTTTTTACTTACTGCCCCTTTTATGTTCCAGGATTCCATCCAAAATGCTGCATTATTTTTTCATTTTCACTTAGACTCCTCTTGGCTATCACATATCCTCAGACTTTCCAATATTTTCAGTTATCTTAATAGTTTTAAGGTGTGCTAGTCATGTATTTTGTAGACTTTTCCCTTAATTTGGACTTGTCTGATGTTTTTTTCATTATGTGTTTTGGGGAGGGAGACCACCTCGGCCAAGTGCAATTCTCACCACATACCAAGGGTGCACACTGTCCACGTGGCTGGTCACTGTTGACATTGATGTTGATCACCTAACTGAGGTAGTGTTTGTCAGGTTGACCCACTGTAAAGTTACTCCTTTCCCCCTTTTCTGACCTGTACTCTTAGAAGGCTGTCACCTTGTTCAGCACACACTGACAGAGTGGGGCATTAAGCTCCATTCCTTGAAGATGGAATATCCATGCAAATTATTTGGAATTATTTTGCATTGGAGATTTTTCTCTTCTCGCCCATTTATATGGCATTTAGTCATGTCTTTATAGTGGTCTGTACTCAAGCTGTTTATTTTAGTTTGAGTTATAATCCAAAACTATTTTGTTATTCAAATGTATCCAGCCTGAGTCATTTGGAAATCTTTCAGTTGACTCCTGGGTCCCTTTGACAGACTCTTACCATTGTGGGTTGGGGTTTTTGTTGTTGTTATTGCTAGTTTTATTTTGACTACTTTCTTCCATGAGTGAGAAAAAAAAGGCAAATGGAACAATGAAAAAATAAGCAAGTTTTGAGCAAGTACTTGACAAAACAGATGATTTAATTGGCCAATGTCCAGGACAAAACAAAAAAGTGCTCAACTTAGTTCTTAGTAATAAGAGAAATGAAAATGAAAATCATGAAGATTTGGAGTGCCTTCTGGATTCACAAAGATGAAAAATTATATGAAAACAAACTGTTGTGAGGCAAGGATATAGAGCACAGGGAACTATCAGACATGGCTCATTAGACTAAATTGGTACAACTACTGAAAGTTTGACATTCTCTTAAGAATACTATAGATAAGGGGCCTCCCCTGGTGGTGCAGCTGTTGAGCGCTGGGTTGCGAGGCTGCCCGCAGCCTCTGCAGCGCCAGTTTGATCCACGGCCACTGGCGAGGGTCCCGCAAAAAGAATACTATAGATAAGCATGTGGATATATGATGCCTTATGTCTCATCAGTTCTCACTGGTGTATGCTCAAAGGGACACTTGTGTTTCTGTGTGCCAAGGGACATTTTAAAAAATATTTATAGCAGCTTTGTTCATAATAGAACAAAGAACCAAAGATTTAGCAAAACATGCAAAACCCAAAGATTTAGCAAAACCCAAAGATTTAGCAAAAGATGCAAGGATAAGTAAAGCGTGGGGTATCACACAACAGAACACTAAATCAAAATGAGCAGACTGCACATGCAACAATTTGGGTGAATCTTTAGACTATGGTACTGAGAAGAAGAGGCAAAACCCAAAGGAATCTAGAACAGTTCATTCCATTTGCATAAAGTTCAAAAACAGACAAGGCAAAAATCATCTTGTTTAGGGATATATGGGGAGGTGGTAAAACAAAGATGTGATTACCATAAAAGTTAAGATATTTCCAGGGTGGGAGGAAGAGTTTGTGATAGGGACAGGAGAAGGGGGGCTTCTGCTTGATAATTTCCTATTGTTACTATACTGTATATTTAGGTTTTGTGTACTTTTATAGAAAAAAGATTTTTAAAGCAAAAGCACTCAATTAAACTACAGTAGATATATATAGATATATAAACTCAATTAAACTACAGCTAAAAGAGATTCTTATTTATGACTACTTTAATTTGTGTATTATGTAATTTTTCACACAAGTGGGAAGAAATGTATAAAATGGAATTTGTACAGCAGGATGCAAAACATTAGTTTAACTTTGAGTGAGAGGAGGACCAGGGAAGAGATAAAGCAATAAAAAAAGGTATCCATAATTTTAAAAAGCAATGTATCTAATCCACATATGTACATGTGTGTATATATGTATGTATGTGATATAGTATATATGTATCACATATGTACTATCAGAAATTATTGATTTTGTTCATTAATCTGTTAGTGGGAGAGCTAAGTTTAATTTGTATTTGTATGGCTTGAAATATTTTACTATAAAAAGCTGTCACTGAAATAACCAGGAAACCAGGCTTTTGTTAGGAGGGAAAAAAATGCAGGAGGTGAAAAGTAGAATTTGAGATTGTGGACAACAATAGCATCTAAAACAATTTATTCTATTGGAGAGATTTTCGAGATATATTTTCCCCATCTTGACAGTTAATATCACACAACAGAACACTTGGTGTCCCTTGGTGATGGGTGTTGTGCAGTAACATACCTCTGAAGAGGTGTGATCCTATACCTCTGAATCATATACAGTGGTGTAAAACCTATGTTACCCTAAAAAAAATTAATTTAAATATGTTGTCCACAGTGAATCACCTTTGAGATCAGGGAGGGAGAAATTGAACACCTCGCTCTGTCTGATTCCAAAGTTCATGTTCTTTCCATAAAGGAAGCACTGGGAAGGAGACCCTATTCCTCTTTTGGCATAGTTCAAATTGAATGGAGGACAAAAAAGAACTAAACTAGATAATTTTACCTCAATTTTCATGTATTTAAAAAAGTGATTTTATAGTGAAAGAACTTTCTAGGAAAGAAAGAAACCAAACCACTGATTTTTTTTTCTTCCATCTTAGGACTTCTTGGAAGAGACTGAAGAAGGCATCAATAACTTAGTGTCTACCCGGTTTTCTGCAAACACTTACAATTTAGCAAGTGGCCTGTCAACCGTATGTAGTTTTCTAACATGTGCTAGAAATTCTTGGCTTCTCTTGTTGATTTTCTGTACTTTTCCAAAGGAGATGTGAATGTCTTTGAGAAAATATGTGATAGTGAGTTAGAAGTTATTATGGGTTCCTGTTTGTCTTTTGCCAACAGAGTACACTTTGGTCTATTTGTACGGGCATTTATTTATTTTTTTAATTTATTTTTAAAGATATATTTTATTTATTTATGAACTGGGATACAGGCCAGAGGTGTGGGGGGTGAGAGGATTCACCAGAGACAGAGTGGGGAACAGAACAGGCAGATTGTCTGAAATACAATGCTGAGGGGAGCAGCGGGTGAGACAGGAGAAGTCTGCTGCACCATGTGGGTAACTCCCTGGCTGGGGATTGAACTTGTGCTGCAGAGGCTGCAGATAGCTTCCCAGTGCTGAGACTTAACCACTTGCCCCACCAGGGAGGCCCCCTGTATGGGCATTTATTAAAGCTTCTGATTCCTTTTCTTTCCTTTCATGTTCCTTGCCTGGTTTAAAACCTCTTCGCTTCTTTATTCAGGCTCACGTGAGATCAGGTCCTTAAAAAAATGTTGTTGGGCTCAACCTTGTTTTATTATATCACTGATGAGAAAAACAATTAGAGCCCACATTAAGGAAATGACATTGTTGGAAGACCTGGCTTCATTATACATTACATTTAAAGTTGCAGTTTCCAAGAACCTGCCTACGTTAAGTGAAGACTCACTGAAAGTTGTCTGGATGGCTTTTGACAAATTTCCCAACTACCATTCTCTAAACTCCCCAACCATCCTCCCGTCCTCCACACCGCCATTCACTTTCCTAACACTCTTGCCCAGTCAAGTTCTTCTCCTACTCAGACACCATCCGTAGTTTCCCACCACCTACAGAGTCAAGTCCCTTCTTAGAGCAGTGTTCAAGGCTTCCTTGAGAGGAAGGCTTTAGGCCCTGAGTGCTTGTGCCCTCCTATGTGCCTCTAAGTCTTTTTTCTTTTCTTTCTTTCTTTTTTTTGTTTTTGTTTTTGTTTTTGCTTCTCTGATTTCTGTCTGTGGCTCTGATACCCTTTCTCCTTTTGACCTTTGGGCAACTTCCTTAAAGAATTCTCAAGCAGGCTCTGACAGGAAGTGGACCTACCTAAATGTGCCTGACGCTGACTCCGACACTGTGAGTTTTCATTCTTTCCTCTTCTTTCTTGCCAACCATACTTCACAAAGTACATGATATGGGAAACAGGATGAGGTGGGCAATTTTTCCAGAATTCATCTTTTCTTGTGTATAATTAACCAGGGGTTCTCTTTTAAAGGATAAGTAAGGTTATTGGACTCCAACTATTCCAAAGAAAGAATATTCATTAAACATTAGACTCTGTATGCCAGTCAAAAGACACATGGTCCTAAGTATTTAATGATACCAAGATACCTTTAGAATAAATATCTGTATTTTCAATCACAGCATTAACTTCGTTAAGTGCATAAAATATGGTTAGTAATAAAAATGCCCTAACTGCCTTAATTTCTCCCAGGTGTCAGCATTTGTAGATTCTTACATTTTTTTCTAAACATAAGGGCTTCCTGTTTATGGACAACCCTCTCTGGAGATGTGGCTACAGAAAGACATGTAGACACAAGGTCATAATATAGGGAGGCAGTGAGAAGTGGTGGGAGGTGCTCAGATTAAAAGTCTGGAGAGTGTATCTTAGCACTGCCAGTAATTTCAATGAGCCACTGTTTTTTCATGTAACACAAGGGGGTTTTGGGCTTAATCTATTAGTTCCCGAAGCTCAAAGTATGGTCCATGGACCAGCAACACCACATCACCTGAATGAAATACTCTAGAAGTTAGTTCACAGAAACCCTTGTGTCTCCGTGTTTCTTAGACCAAAAGTAACACCTGGGTGACCCATTTATCAATAGATCAGAAAAGCTTAATGAGCACTGGTCCATGTAAGTACTGGTTGCATCCTAACTTCTTAGTAGCCATTTGAAAAAAAAAATAATGCACATAAGCTGAAAGAAAAATAGTATTTCTATTCTGTTGTTAAATAGCCTTTTTTACTATTCACTATTTTACCATTGGAATGCATGCCTGCAGGACACTGCATGAATTGCCAAACCTGGTATCTGATTGGTATCACCACTTTCATTTCCTTTTTCACATTGATTCTTGTGCAATACTTGCTTTTTGTCACAGCAAGTGCTGAAACTCAGTTTCACAATGATAGGACGTCATTGAAAAGAGTAAAGTGTGATGCAGTGTTGACACTGAACTAGTATAGTAGTTTGCATGGTGATCTGGTAGGTCTCACTGTGTTTCCCTTGATTTTTAAACTACCCTTTGGTACCCTCTGGGAGTCTGCTATGATGCTCTGGGATGCTTCGACACAGCTTAGGAATCGTGGGCCTAGAGTTGGTCAGAAAAGCCAAATCTTAGATCCCACCTAAGACTGAGTATATCAGAATCTTCATTTTAACAAGATCACCAGGTGATTTATATGCAATCAAAGTTTGGGAAACAGTGCTCAAAGCGACCTGTTCTGTGTGAAAATTCTGTTGTTTTAGGAATAAGATAGACGAATAGATCACTTGCTAGCTCTCTTTAATTATGCTCTCCAAATTATGGAATTCTTGGTTTGCACTTCCCTTTGACTGAAGCTTAGAAGAGATACTGGCCACATTACTACATTCTGTTCTCAATGTCTTTGTTGAGCAATTGGTGTAATATAATGACTTTTGGGTGCATGTGTGTACACACATATATACATACACATGTATATATACATATATGTGATATTTATATAAACAAAGAGAGATTACATGTCATACCTTTTCGTGTGTGTATGTGTGTGTGGTGTGTACACACATATACATAGTCTACACTCTTCATACTCACCATGATCCTTACTTCTCAGCTGCTCACAGACAGGGCTTTTGAAACTATTGGGTCAATAATATCAGCCTTCCGGGTGGTCTTTTGTGACAGTCATGTTGCTAAGATACAGATGTTGTGCTTCTGTCACTAAAGGGTAATTTTATTACATTTAATTTAAACTATGTCTCATGTCATTAGTGTCTTATCAGAAACTTCATTTGTCCCGACAGATTGGGACTTTTTTCATTTTGTATTTTGTTTATTGGTTAGTGTGTGTGTTTGTGGTTTAGTGTTTTATTTTGTGAGTTGCTGTTTCACAGAGGTTTACAAAACTGACCACACAGCTGCTCAGGGAAATCTTAGCAGCTATGGGTGTTTGCTGTCTCTTGTTAAAGCTGCAGGCCTGGCTCCCCAGAGACAAATGGAGGAGTTAGAGAAGCTTGTGGTTCCTGCTCGCACAGACTTTGAGATGAGCTTTCCTTTGTCCTGATCAGTGCAGTCTAGACATTGAGGTACATTGACCTTGAGTCTACTGGTGAATAAAGAAGAAAGCAAGCTACACAGATGGGAACAGGAGGTGGGATTGCAAATCCCTCAGTGACCTAGTATTCATTAGCAAAGGATTAACAAAGGCTGTTCACTAACCCAAAAAGGCCACGCTTCCCCTCTCAGCAACTTTCCTGCCTTCTTACTAATTGTCCTTGACGTCGTCTCTCAGGATGGGATTTTTATACCTCCCCAGGACAACAAGCAAAACAAATGATTTTTGCTTTCTTCACTCACCATAGATGTCCCTGCTTTTTATAAAGAGCTGGAATTGTAATCAAATGAAAGTGTGGGTTCTGTAAAGAGATTATTAGACTAACACTCCACCTCTTTCCATCTTGTTTATTCCAGACCAGCCTTAACAGCATGATGAGTGTTTACAGCGAAACAGGAGACTATGGCAATGTGAAGGTCAGTGGCGAGATCCTTCTGCACATCAGCTACTGCTACAAAACTGGTGGACTCTACATTTTTGTCAAGAATTGCAGAAATCTCGCCATAGGTGATGAAAAGAAACAGAGAACAGATGCGTAAGCATGTGGCACATTCCTCAGACTATTTCAATCACTGCATTCTTTGTCAGTATGTGTGTTTCTTTTTAGAAAAGTCTTAGCAATCCTCTTGATTCCAAGCCTGTTCAAGGTTGATTTTCATGGTCCTCCTTTGCCACATTTCTAAATATTCTCTGACATGCACATGTAATGGTTTGTCCACCACTGTGTGATTTTTATTTATTTTTTAAAAGATTTATTTATTTATGCATATAAGAGCTGGGGTACAGGCCAGAGATGCAGGGGGGGTGGTGGTGTGAGAGGATTCACCAGAGACAGAGTGGGGAACAGAACAGGCAGACTGACTGAAATACACTGCTGAGGGGAGCAACGGGTGAGACAGGAGAGGTCTGCGCCATGTGGGTTGCTCCCTGGTGGGCCGGGGATCGAACTCATGCTGCAGAGGTTGTAGATTGCTTCATAGTGTGGTGCTTAACCCCATGCACCACCAGGGAGGCCCCACTGTGTGATTTTTAAACAGCTATTGCTCAACATGATTCAGGACTGACATATTTGTAGTTTATACAGAGGCAGCTCTTTGAGATAAAAAGTGGACACATTGGCCCATCCCAGGAGGTATAAGAGTATCCTGTTAATTTTTGTTCTGGGAAACCCTCCAGAAAAAAAAAGCACCAAGCTGTTTGCCCAACTGAATAATTCAAAAAAGGCAGCGGTGGGACTCAGAGGTCCAGGGAGCCGTCTGGGAGGGCAGGGATGGACCGTGGCCTCTTGGAAGGGAGGCCTTGGGGTGGATGTGTTGGGATCCCCAAGGCCAGTATCAGGCTCAGTGATTCACTAGGAGGATTCACGGGACTTCGCATGTCATTCTTTTCAGCCACAGGAAAAGGCAAATGCAACAAAGTCCCGGAGAATCCAGACACAGCTTCCCAGTGTCCTTCCCCAGTGGAGTCACACGGCATGTGTTTCAGTCTCCCAGCAGCTAGCTGTGACGACACTTGCTCACCTAGAGACTCCGCTGGTCATCTAATCAAATTCCCATCTACAAGAAGGAAAATATGTGTTAGGTATAAGCCATATTGTTTTTTTAAATAGTTTAGTGATAGTGAGCCACATACATCGCTCTGAGAATGATGGAAGTCCTCCCAAAATCCAGGTTACCAGATGCCAGCTGATGCCTATAAGCAGGCATTTGTAGGTAGAGCTGTCTCGGGCCTGCTGTGATACCCCTTTTCCACCTAATGAATGATATAGATTCAAAAAATTCAGTGACGTTATCTCCAGATGTCCTAAGATAGACAAATGAATTAATTCTGAGTGCAGATGGGCACCTAACTCCTCAGCTAAATATCAACATGAAGCCGGTGTGAGCTGTTAATTTAGCCCTTGAACCACCACAAGCTCTTGTCCCACGAAGCCGTCAAAAAAAGAATTGGCAGATCAGGAAAAAGACTAATCAATACAAAGTAAAAATCAAAATCAACAAGCAACTATAAACCACAGACACACTGGGGGGGGGGTAGGGGCGGGGAAAGGAAGGACTAGAGTCAAAATAAGGGGGTGGTGTGCAATTGTATGGGGAATATAACCAAAATGAAAATGCATACATTGTGCAAAGATGAAAAAAGATGTAAGATTTATATAAAATAAAATATTTAAATAAAAAAGAAAGGAATTTGCAGACATTTTAGATAAGTAAGCAGAGAGAAGCAAACTTTGTTCAAGGAGGTAAAGAAAAGTTTATTTAGAGGAAAAAGAACAAAGGCAAAGGCTCCAAGGCAGTGATGCCAAGGAGGGGCAGAAGACGCCGGATGGGCCTGTGTCCAGGGGATGTTTAAATATTTTTTCTCTTTTCTAAAATCGCGTCAGCTTTTGTGACTGGCTTTCTCAGTGGCTGTACTTCCCTGGGCAGCTGTGTCCCGCTTTACAGCTCTTGTCTTACCCTTTCTTTCACTGCCCTGTCCAAGGTCTCTTAAAATTTCCTCTCCTTATTAGCCTGAAAACGTACTGCCCTCATTAGCCCTCCTGGATTTCTTTGTCCTTATCTCAGAAGATTTTTTTTTTTAACTCTCCCAAAGCCCCTGCCTGCACTGTCCCTGAAGCTGCCTAATTAACTCTAACTTGCCCTAAGACTCAAGAGGACTTCAGAATCACTGTGATCATCTCAACTAGCAGCGAAGGGGATCATCTAAAGCTCCAGTAGATGCATTCTGGGACTGTGGTAGTATCTTGTACATTTCAGTCTTGTGCATTTCTGGGTCTACCATGAGGCTCCTGCCTCAAAAGACTCCTGGGATAGCTCAAGGCAAGGTGTTGGGTAGAATTGCTATTGTGACTTCAGGTTGTTATTTTCTCTTTCTTCTTTTTCACCATTTTCCTTCATTTATCCATTATCACAAACTCTACTCATGAGGAGTCTTAACATCTAAATGGAGACGAATATAAGCCCATAATATTTTGTGAGTCCATTGAACATAATAATAGATTACATTTATTGAACAGTATATGTGAGCTCCTTGTATGTATCAACTAATTTAATTCTCACAATGCCACAAATTACTGTTATTCTCCCAGTTTTACATATGAAGAAACTAAGTCAGAGAGATCTCAAGTTCTTAAGTTCACCAAAACCAGGGAGACACAGAGTGATCCAAACCCAGTTGGCTTGAACCAGAACTCACAGTCTTTACCACTATCCTCCTTCTCTCTTATGGAAGGTCTAAAATTACATGTTAAAGTGTCCTGTTATGTAGAGAACATTCTCATTGTTTCTCTTATGTTCATATAAAACTATGGTTTATTTCCTTTGCCCCTTTTACTCACTGAAGTCCTGAACATTTCTTGCAAGTTAGCTGTTTCCCAGTAATCACTTTTGACTTTTATCACCTACAGTTATGTCAAGTCATACCTTCTTCCTGACAAGTCTAGAAACAATAAGCGCAAGACCAAAATCAGAACAGGCACCAATCCAGAATTCAATGAAACACTGAAGGTAAATATTCTCTCTTCTCTCATAGAGTATCTCACATAGTATTCTTCTCAACCTCATTGGTTTAGAAGTAACTCCAGAGTCTTTTCATGCCGAGGCTCGTGTATATCTAGAAAAGCACAATTTGAGTAAATTAACATAATGCCCTTGGCTTTCTTAACAATTTTTGGAGAAGAAAAATGTAAACCAATCTTAGTTTGTTTATTTCTTAGCTACTGCCAAAGTTCCACGTTAATTAGAGATGACCCAGCAAAATGACATCTGTGCTGGCACATCTTGCCCAGAAATATGCTTCACCCTTGGAAAAACTGTTTTTCCTAGTTTCCCTTAAAAGAAGCGTGTCACAGTTTTGACACTAACTTAGCAGGTCAATTTGTACACATTCATTATTTTGTTAACACTGCTTAAATATGTTTTGTTTCTTGGTATGATTTCAGAACTTAGCTAAATTTAGGCATGTCGTTAATGAATGATAGAGATGCAGGGTTGGGCTTGAAAACTTGCAGAGAAGGTAGCCTAGATAGCATTTGACCCAGACTCCCCAACCCCAGAGAAATTACTTGTCCCCACGGGCTGCCATCCTAAGCCACCTGACCTCGTAAGGAATATCCAGAGATACTAGAATATAGACAGCATTGCCAGTTGTGGGGATGTTTTTGAAACATGTAGTCAGAAATGATGGAGAGTCTGCTGAAGCAAGAAATTGGTGAGGGTAGAAAATCATGAACCTGCATGCAGACATAAGGAGCCAATGCCAGGACAGATGAAAATGAGAATGAATGAATACAGGCAGAGGGTGAATCCAGTGACCATAATAGGACAACAAAGATGAGCCCAAGTGGAACAGGTGAAATTGGTTACATGGCAAATTCAGAAAGCAGGGAGCCAAAGTTAATCATGCCAGGGACAGCAAAGACAAGCGCAGATGCAAATATAGATTCAGAAATCAGTCCATCCAAAGTGGTAGTTACACAGAAGAAGCAGGATGGTTAAGGATGTGTGCACAGTTTTGCCCTCATAACAGTCTGCTGGCAAAAGAAAAGGTAGCTATCCCTAAAGTAAAGAGATTTACTTTCTGCAAAATGTATGCATGTGTCTTTTCACCCCTGCAGTTAGGGTGGGCTTTATGAAGTTTGCTGTTTGCCTGTGGAGAGGAAGCTAATCTTCCTCTACCCTTCTAGGTCCTTCCTGTGGGAAAAGAATTAAGTTGACATAGGGAGATTAACAAAAGAAAAGACAAATTTAATTACATGATCCATAGAATATAGAACCTGTGATCTGTCAGCCAGGGATTTTATGTAGTTCTTAGAAAAGGGATAATAAAATGTGGGAGGAAAAGAAGATCAAAAAGAAACTTTGAAGTTTAGGAAAGGAATTTTCCTGGGGTTTATTGCATATGCAAAGAGACCATACAGACCCTAGTCTGAAGGATGCCTCTCTCTCACCACAAGGAGTACCACAGAGAAGAGTTATTTCCTGTTTTTAAGGAGATAATTTGGCAAATCGTCATTCTTGGATTTTTGTTTCCAATTTCCTTCAGTTCAAAATAATCCGCCTGCCACTTTGACACATCCTGGGCAGCCTGTCCTAGGTCATGACATGAATTTGTCATTGTCAGTATTTTGGAGGTTCTAGTTTTGAATATAATTAGAGGAGTGGAGAATTGATCACTTAAAACTTGAGCTTAAAGAATAATTATTGAAAATAATGAGGCAAGTGAAAAGCAGGTAAAGCTGGAGAGGGGGATAAGATTCATCACCTAACACTTTTTATAGCATCTGAAGGTTATTGACTCCCTGGATTAGTGTGTGTATGTCTCTCACTGCTAGGTCTGACACAGTGGGTTCATGGACTAGAACCTCACTGTTGCAGAACCCAAGAAATTATTTTCTTTGCATTTTGTTCATGTTACTAATGCATATGATCTGAAAGATGATGGAAGTGAATTTCAGCCTGTCCTGGAGCTGTACTGAGCCCTCTTTCTGGAAGGTGATGTTCTAATTGTCATTTACAGTACACCATCAGCCATACCCAGCTGGAAACACGAACTCTGCAGCTCTCTGTCTGGCACTATGATCGATTTGGACGTAACAGCTTCCTTGGAGAGGTGGAGATTCCTTTCGACTCATGGAACTTTGAAAACCCAAGTGATGAGTGGTTTGTGCTTCAGCCCAAGGTAGGAAGTGCTTCTATATTAGTCAAATAGTTATACCACTAGACAAGTTATGAGCAAAATTGATGTCACATACCTAGAGAACCCTAAGACTACCAGTTGTCAAGCATACTCTGAAGGTTAGTACAGATAATTTTGAAATAAGTGCAAATTCATTCTTTTGGAATTACTTCAATGAAGAATGTATATAGTACAAGCCACATAGTCATATATATTACCAATTTGTTTTAATTAAAATGCATTCACCATTTGAATAACCAAGAGAACATATCATATGAGTCTATAGAAAGAGAAAGTTTTCGTGTTCACATAGATAAAACAAATCCATAGAGCAAGATCCATGCTAGAACATTCTCCACCATCAGACCATAAGCAGGAATGGTCTTGCCTTGACTCACATGAGGCAGTGAGCAGTAGCTAAAGGGCCTGGTTTCCTACATCCCTTCTTAGAGATTCACACCCCAGGTCTTGAGATACATTTAGAAACAGAACTGCCAAGCTGGTTCTAGAAATTAAATGACAGCATAGCATGTTCTAAACTAGACCAATAGGTACCTTGGATTTACTGTGTGTGTCTGGAATCTCTATACACTGGCAGTAATGTTTTAAACCCCAGGTGAGGTATTAAAAGGTCATATTTATGTAAGCAAAGACTGCTTTTTTTTAACAGGGTTAAAAAGAACATGATGGTAAAGGCACTGGATTCAAATCAAACTTCATGACTTCACAACTGTATGACCTTGGGAAAATTACTTAAAACTTCTCAGGCCTTGGTGTTCTCATTTGTGATATAAATGGACATAGCTTGTAGAGATGCTGTGAGACTTGAATAAGCACTTTATGTGATGTGCATGAAGCTGTGTAAGGCACAGTGTCTATTTTCAGTAAATGCTAAGTAGTATTCATGTTATATCCGAGTCCTTATATTACAGTGGGCAGAAAGCTCATACTGCTTTAAAAAAAAAAAAAAAGGAAATTATTGGTCAGTGGGTATCAAGCATGGCTTGATCCAGCTGCTCAAATCTTATCAAGCCCTGGAGTCTCTTGGTGTCTTTACTCCTCTATGTTAGCTTCATTTTCAGACTTCACACATGCTGACCCTGCCTTGCTAGCTCCAGGTATGTTTTTCTTGGGCCCTGTAGCAGCTGCAAGCCTCTCATCATTGCGTCATACTCCAAGAGAGTGAATACCTCCTCCTCCATCAGCCTAACCAGTGCCCTGGGCCTGGCTGTCCTAATTCTGATTGCAGTGTCTGCCCTGAGATGATCCCTTTGGCTGGTTTGAAATAATCAGCCTATACCCTGGTCCTGAAGACAGTATTGGCCCAAAGGAAATCAGGTACAGAGGTGCTAAAGGGAGTGGTGAGAAGATTCTATACAGCAAAGCAAACAAACAGAAAGCCCAATCATCATCGACAGCAGCGTTGTTCATTTTTCATGATAAATTTACAACAACCCCATGAGGTCAGTATTAGGATCCCCATTTTATGTGCAGACAGTGAGACTCAGCAGTTAAATGCAACTTTCTGGTGGGGTTTTATACCTGTTGCCCTCAAACTTGGTATAAATAACTCATGGAGGGCCTCCCTGGTGGCGCAGCAGTTGAGCGCTGTGTTGCGAAGCTGCCCGCAACCTCTGCAGCACCGGTTCAATCCCCGGCCACGGGCGAGAGTCCCACATGGTGCTCAGACCTCTCCTGCCGCCCGCTGCTCCCCTCAGTAGTGTACTTCATCCATCTGCCTGTTCTCTCTGCTCTGGCTCTGGTGAATTCTCTCACCCTCCCACACTTCTGACTGTACCCAGTGCTTGTATAAATAAATAAATAAATCTTTAAAAAGAATTGAAAAAAATAACTCATGGAAACTTTTTAGGAGATGTCACTGAGCTCTGGGTACAATTGAAAATAAAATACAAAAATCCTTAAGCATAAAATAACTGCAAGTCCATGACTAACAGGTAACTACAGGTAAGGCCACAGCATCATAACGTTCCCCTGACATCAAGTATGGAAACCACTTGGCAATGAGAGCACAGTCTCTTAGAATTGAATACAAAGCGTCGCTGTAAGGGTGAGCACTTGCTCTGACTCAGCATTCTCCTGTCAGTGCAAAACCTGATCCCCACACCATCTCCTGCTTCTTGAGTGACTCATCCTCAAGCAGAGCTGGACTCTGTGTGGTAGATTGTCAGCAAACTATGCAAGCATCTCTTCATGCTCAGACACTCAAAGCCATAGTCCCATCAGCTGCAGCTGTGGGGTGAGCAGTCCCGGGGACTTGGTGTCTCCTGCACATTACCCGGCTCAGGAGGTGAAGTATGGGCCACAGGGACTAGTTGCCTTTGTGATAGAGGATCAGAATTCACAGGCCTTCAGCACTTGGAAATACTGCCAGCAGTGGGACTGCTAGGAAGACGAGTGTTTTATTGCTTCTTGACTTTGTATTCATGGAAATCACTCGACCCAGACCTTTGTCTTCGCCAGGTCTTAGATCACGACAGCCAACGAGGAGGCTGGTGCAGAGGGAACTCAGGGTGCCCTAAGTGCTGTGAAGTCATTTAGCACTGTAGCTTCCATTTCACTACACGACATGGGACTGTGTGTTGTTATTGCTGTCTCTTCCGGAAGGGCATTCTAGGCAGTTAGACGAGAAGCGTTTGTCATTACGAATTGCCTTTCATATCTTCCTCAAAGGTGCTATTATAAAAATAAGGACCTTTGAGTATCAATCACATGCTTAGATAGTTTTCCAAGAAACCCTCTCTGTTCTGCCTGCAGGCAGAGAGTAAATGCACATTCCTGTGGCATTATTATCTAGTAGAAAGACTTTCTCTTTATTCGGTAGTTTTGGCAGACTTCTCTGCAATTTATCACCTTAGATCTGTAAACGCCCTGAGAGTCTCTGCTCCTTACTCTAATGGAATTGGTATCTCTCTTTTCAAAAAGCAGAAGATAATGGAGTTATCTGATTCTGCCATACCTCTACTCAGATGACCTCCATCGTTCCCTACTCTTTGGGGATCTGGTCTGAATAAGTCCTAACCCTCACCCTGGCACTCAGTGCTACTGTGATGTGGCCCAGCCTTCTGTAGTGGAGGAAGATGTCAGTACTCTACTCATATCCCCATTTTCATTCAGGCGTGGTTCCCCAAGGCTGTCACTCCCACCAGCCAACACCCTCCAGTCTTTGTAGGAGAGGACTCCTCAGACTAGTTGAGTGGGCTTGGTCTGTGCATATGAAAACCCAGAGTTGCTTGGGTATTTCATCACCCTGGGAGTGGGGGAGGGCAGAGCCCTCTATCAGTGATGTGAATGGAGGAGCATACACACTTCTGCCCTTGCTTCTGATGGGGAAGCGCTGACGTAGGATCTGTCATATCTCTAGTAGTCTCCTGTGAGACTGAGCAAAAGTCACTCTCCATGGAACTTTGTCTGATGGTAAAATCCTTGTTAAGTTTTCCTGTATTGTGAAGTCCTACTTCCCTACTATCCTTCCTCATAAAACACTATAACATAACTTCATGGCTTTGGGTCTTCTAGACAATCTGTTTCCATCTTTCCTTCCCCCTGCATGCATGTGTGTGCGCATACAAACACACACACACACACACACACACACACACACACACTCACACACACATACCCCTACACCTCTAATCACACCTGACTTCCTACTAGTTCTTGAACTCATTCTACACAGTCCCCACTATATTTTGCTGGAGCTGCTTTCTTAATGTGGACTAACCTTCTTTCCATCCCATCTTCATCTGGAATCATCTCTCCCATCCTTTAAGATCCAAACAAAGGGCACCTCTTTATCCCAGTCCGGTTGCTATCTCTTTGTACAGTAGTTTCTTTGTACTTGTATTAGAGCAGCTCTCACAGTCTGACATTGAACTTGCTGTGCAGTAGAAGTCCAAGAAAAAAAATCCCAGCAGGGGGCCTCCCCTGGTGGCGCAGCGGTTGAGCACTGGGCTGTGAAGCTGCCCGCAGCCTCTGCAGCGCTGGTTCGATCCCGGGCCTCCGGCGAGGGTCCCACATGGCCCGACAGACCTCTCCTGTCTCGCCTGCTGCTCTCCTCAGCAGTGTATTTCGTCAGTCTGCCTGTTCTGTTCCCCGCTCTGGGTCTGGCTCTGGTGAATTCTCTCACCCTCCCGCACTTCAGACTGTACCCAGTGCTTGTGTAAATAAATAAATAAATCTTTAAAAAAAAAAAAAACAGAAAACAAAAAAAATTCCCAGCAATCAGGACCAATGGTAGGTGAGTTAATAGAGAAAGTCATAGAAATCACACACATTAAAACATATGCCCCCCCAATGCATTTCTTTAATATTTGTTTCACCTTAAAGCAAATAAATATGCGATTGTGTTCTCAAGTCTTCTTCAAATATACAATTATGCTTTCAAGTCTTCTGCTATAAGGGCAATTAATTTTGTTTGAGTACAGTTTTAGTGATTAAAATTCTGCCATATCTTCCTGGCATAAATTCTATCTAATGCAGCAGCATCAACAGTTTCCAGTTTGAGTTTCTCTAAAGTGAAATAAGAACTTAAGAATACATTCAAAGTAAACCAAATGCAAAATATTCTCACATACAATATTTTTCCTAATTTGTTACAGCTTCAAGCCCAAATATACTCTAATAACAAATTTCAAATCTTTAGTTCTTCTAAAGTATTGAACTTAATTTTTATATGTAACAGCTGTCTGTTTTTGTAATCTGGTTTATGTGATAATAAATTACATAATCAGAACCACAAATGTCTGATATAGAGCTTGGGGGATTAATGCAGCTGACTCATGATGGGATAGGAACAGACATTCCTTTTTGCAGAGAGGATTCTGCTCTTCATTAATCAATCTGAGTCCATTAAATAAGGGCAGATTAATAGAGCTTTTACTATACATATGTAGGTCTCCTAAATAGAATGAAAGGTCATTGAAAGCAGGGTCTGTGTCTTTTGTGTCCACAGAGCACATAGCAAAAATGCCTTAAAAGCATTACTTGGAGAAGGCATTTCACGTGTGTTCGTAGAATTGAATTGTGCTGAGTGGAAGTTAATATTATTAACTTAATTATTAACTATTAATAATTATAACTATAATCAATTATTAACTAATTATTAGTTGAATAATACAGAATGGTCATATGCCAGGAGAGGTTGTTGTCTTATGAGACTACCACAAATAGCTCGGGACATTACTTGTGTGCAGGCTGCCAGATGACACCCTCCTTGGAGTTTCTGTATGTGATTATAATGCTGTCAGACTTCATCGTGATTGTTTTCTTCTTTTCCAAGCAATGAGGACTGTGTTTATATAAGGTCATGAGCATATTTTAACTGAAGCTAAAAACCAATGGAACATGAACAAATACCGATAATGTGTGTGTTGATCCTTGCTAGTAAGTTATGTATGAATGAGACAACTGCACACATCACTTTTCTACCAGCATATTTTCCTATCCAAACATCTCAGCCAAAAGCAAACAGAGCCTGCACTAGTTAACTGTTTTTGCATAGAAAACAACCCGAAGCCTTAGTGGCCAAAAACAGCAATTTATGGTGATCATCATCACTCACGATAATGAGGGTTAACTGGGCTTCATTGGGTGGTTCTTATTAAAGCTCTCATGTGGTTGCAGCTAAATGGTAGACTGAGGCTGATGTTGTCAAAGGCTTGACTGGGCTGCTTGGTCCATTCCCACACTGGATGTTGGCTGCCAAGGAGGAGCTCAGTTAGGCCTGTCAACTGGAACACCTATCTGTGCCTTCTCCATGTGGCTTGGGCCTCACATGAGTTCCTGAAGGGAACATCTCGTGACTAGTCCTTCCAAGAGAGGAAGCCTCTTAAGGCCTGCACCCCAGGTACTTTGTTACTTCTGGCATATTCTGCAGATCAGAGTAATCACAGAACCCACTTAGCTCCAAAGAGAAATGACATATACTCTGCCCCTCGTTGGCTAAGTATCCAAAAAGTAGTGGCGTCTTTAATACTCTCCATTCTAACTTTACATTTATGACACTCACATTAACATGTCTGACACTGTCAAGATAATAAGAAAATCCTTTTACAAGGCACCTGATCTAAAATAATCAGATTAAATATTGGATAGTCTAGTTCTAATCTCATTTTTGCCCCAGGTGAAAACATTGAGTGAAATACCTTCAATGATTTTTCCCACCCTCATGAATTACTTTTACTACCACCAAGAGGAAAGAAATTCAGACAAGGATTCCTTTTCTTTGTCATGGTCTCATTATGCTTGGTATTTTTTGCTGAGACTTGGACAGCCTCTGGCTTTGCTGTGAGTATGGGAGTTTCTGAATTCTTTGTCCTCTCTCAGAGCCCAATAATTCCTTTTTTTTTTAAAAAAAAAAAAGATTTATTTATTTATTTATACAAGCACTGGGTACAGTCAGAAGCACGGGAGGGTGAGAGAATTCACCAGAGCCAGAGTGGGGAGCAGAGCAGGCAGAAGGACCAAAGTACACAGCTGAGGGGAGCAGCAGGCAGCAGGAGAGGTCTGCGCGCCATGTGGGACCCTCCTCCGGCGGCCGGGTTGCAGCCGGGGATTGAACCGGCGCTGCAGAGGCTGCGGGCAACTTCACAACCCAGCGCTCAACCGCTGCGCCACCGGGGAGGCCCAGAGCCCAATAATTCTCAGTCCCTTGTGGAACAGGTTGTAAATAGTGCTGCAGTAAACATAGGAGTGCAAGTTTCCTTTTGAATTAGTGTTTTTGCATTCTTTGGGTCGATACCTAGGAATGGAATTGCTGGATTGGCTAGCAGATCCATTTTTAATGATAAGATGTATCTTATAGGGAAATATATAAAGTTTTAAATTTATTCATTTTTTTTCAACAAACACAACTGAAAATCCTATCCAGAAGGAGTCCACTGTAGTAACATCAATCATTTAAATGTGTACATGGAAACTACACAATTATGTAAAGACCTGACTGGATCAGCTTATGAGAAAATCTTTGTGATTTTCTTTGTCAGTATAGAAATGGAATCCGTGATCTTTCTCTGTTCTTTCTCCTCCTTCCTCTTCTTGCCCCTTGCCTCCTCAGATTCCCGAGAGGGAAAAAGGCCTGAGAAAGTATACTCTATTTATGAAAAATCTAAGTTCAGTTGACTCAAAGGCAAGTATGAGGCCTTCAGAATGGAGGCTCTGGACATACACTCATATTGACTATTTTAATTTAAACTTTTGACTTTGAGATTATTATAGATCTACAGAGACATTCTATTTACACTTTGCCCAGTTTCCTCCAATGGTTACATCTTGCAAAACTATATGATAGTATGATAGTATAACCAAGATACTGACATTGATATAATACACTGATTTTATTCAGATTCCCTCAGTTATCATTTGTGTGTTGGGGAGGAGCAGTGTTTATTTAGTTCTATGCAATGTTATCACATGTAATTCTCTGTCTCCACCACCACAGCCAAGGTACAAAGTAGTTCCATCACCCCAGGGAGCCCTCATGGTCTTCTTTTATAATCAGACCCATCTCCCTCCTGCCACCTCCATCCATACATCCTAGCAACCACTAATCTGTTCTCTATATGTATTTTGTCATTTCAAGAATGTCACATAAATGGAATTGTGCAGTATGTATCCTTCTGAGGGTGTTTTTTTTTTCATTCAGCATAATTCTCTAGAAATTTTTCCAAGTTTTCACATGTATCCATAGTCATTCCTGTTTATTGCTGCATAGTATTCCATGAAACGGCTGTATCACAGTTTAATAGTTGAAGGGCTTCTTGGCTGCTTCCAGAAATAAAGATAATATGGAGATTTGTATAGAGGTTTTTATTTGGGCATAATCTTTCATTTCCCTAGGGTAAATGACCAAGAATATAATTTTTGAGAGGTGTGCTAGTTGCAGATGGAGTCTTAAAAGAAACTGCCAGATTTTTCCAGAGTAACTGCACAAGTTTACGTTTCAGCAATGTTTGATGAAACCGGTTTTCCCACATTGCAACTGAATGTGAATTACCAGTGTGGTTTTTAATAATTGATGGTCAGCACCAGTTAAGTGCTATTGCCAATTTACCCCCTCTTGATTACTTAAGAAAGCCCTGAGGCATTGAGGGCAGACAGGGAGGAGTATCTTATGGGACTGTTTCCAGTGGCATCTTTATTTGTGCCTTATAGCCCTAATCATATGTGTATGTTCAATGATAAGTCCAGGACCTCAGTACTCATCAGCTGATCAAATGTCTGTTATATATCTCCTCTCAGATGCCTTTTATGTGAATGTTAAAAGTTGTATGTAAATACCTCCATAGAGTTTTCCAGCCTCTTTTCTCATACTGAGGCACCTCTTTAACCAGTGGGTGAGTGGGAATGGATTGTCCAATTTAAGTCACCAAGTAAATATTGTACATTCAAACATGAGTTGCAAAACAACAAACACACATTGTTTTCTTTTCTTTTCTCCTGTCTCCCCTGGGTTAGGTGGAGTTTGCTGCCGACATCAGCCTTCAGTACAAAGGAGAGCTGACAGTTGTTCTGCGTTACATCCCCCCAGAGCACAGCTTGATGCTTCCACTAGGACAGCTTCAAGGTAGTTGAGAGTCTGTGACTGTGATCAAGGGCATTCAAGCTTGGGGAGGAGGATCAGGGCTTGGGCAGACTGGGTTCCTTTTGCGTTACACTTGTGAAATGTAAAGAGTTGGGTGTCACTGTTTGGGAGGAGAGCTGAGAAATACCTACTCTGTGTGGGGGGAGGGTATGGGATTCCTACAAGGAAAGGACAAAATGAATATTTAGAATCCAGTCTGATGGTGAGATTTCATTTGTGAAAGGTCAAGAGACATAGGATCTTCTGTGGAGTGGAGTGAGAGAAGGAGGGGGTGGGGGGACTATGTGCTGAGAAGGGGAAATGTAAAAAACTGCTGGATGGATTGATGACGTTCATAACTCCTCAAGGAATCTTCAGGAAGAACTTGACCTAGAATATAAATTGCAAAGGAAACATCCAGGTGGAATCAACTTTTAAAGCCCTCTTGCCCTTCACCTTCCATCTGTTTTTACAGGCAGCCTCTTTTCCCAAACACGGTCACCCTCTTCCCTGTGACCTTGGGCAAGTGACTTACTATCTTACTTGGGCACTTAGGTTGTTTCCACGGCTTGGCTATTGTAAATAGTGCTGCAGTAAGCATAGGAGTGCAGGTTTCCTTTTGAATTAGTGTTTTTGCATTCTTTGGGTCGATACCTAGGAATGGAATTGCTGGATTGGCTAGCAGATCCATTTTTAATGATAAGATGTATCTTATAGGGGAATATATAAAGTTTTAAATTTATTCATTTTTTTCTCTTAGCCTCAGTTTCCTCAATACTTACAGATGTAGTAAGGATTAGATAGGGTCATTCACTTCCAGTGTTTAAAACAGTTCTAACTATAGGTGGTGGTGGTGGGTTTTATTCATGTTGAACATCCTTTGTCAGAATAGAAATGTGACACTGGAATTTTCTTTCACTCAGAAATTTAATTGGGCCATGACCATAGCCTTTAGAACTGGCCCTGCACATAGTTGACAATTCATGAGGCTACAGTATCAAAGAAGGGAGTTATAGAACTTTCTCTTTTGGATATTTGGTGCTTGCATGTGGCTTTCATTGTAGCACTTTCTCATTGAGAACAGGAAAGTGACACAAGCAGTTCTCATGGTCTTTTCCTCCTTTGTGCCCTGTGAAAAAGATACGTCTTTTTTAAAATAAAATTTTTATTGACGTATCAGTGGCTTACATTGTGGTTAGTATCCTGACAGTACAGGATTTCCCATCTCAGGTGTCGTCACCGTAGCACACCCACCACCACAACACCCATAGTCCTCACCATAGTCCATTGTGCTCCCTCCTTACTGTGTTCTCTGCCCTCCTCCCCTTCCCCTCAGCTCTGTGATCAGCTTTCATGGGTTAGTTTTACATTTCACTTTATCTGACCCTTTGTTTGGTTTCTCTATAATCCACATATCAGTGACAACAATAAATATTTACCTTTCTTCATCTGGTTTATTTTCCTTAGCGTAATCCCTTTCCCGCTCCATCCATGTTGCCACAGAAGGCCTGAGTTTATGTTTTTGGAGCACTGAGTAGTATTCCATTGTATGCATATACCGTGTATTTTTGATCCACTCATCTGTTTCTGGGCACTTAGGTTCTTTCCACAGCTTGGCTATAGTAAATAGTGCTATAGTAAATAGTGCAGTAAACATAGGAGTGCAAGTTTCCTTTTGAATTAGTGTTTTTGCATTCTTCGGGTCGATATCTGGGAGTGGAATTGCTGGATTGGCTAGCAGATCCATTTTTAATGATAAGATGTATCTTATAGGGAAATATATAAAGTTTTAAATTTATTCGTTTTTTTTCAACAAACACAAATGAAAATCCTATCCAGAAAGAGTCCAATATAGTAACATCAATCATTTAAATGAGTACATGGAAAATACACAATTATGTAAAGACCTGATTGGATCAGCTTATGAGAAAATCTTTGTGATTTTGTCAGTATAGAAATGGAATCTGTGATCTTTCTCTGTTCTTTCTCCTCCTCCCTCTTCCTGCCCCTTGGCCCCTCACCCTCGCTTGCTCTCATTTTGATGGCTGATGCAGGAAAGAAGGCATTTAAAAGTGGAAAAAAGAAGGAGTCTTCTGTAATCTCTGGAGGAATACTGGAAGTTTTCATCAAAGAGGCAAAGAACTTGACAGCGGTGAAGTCAGGAGGCACTTCTGATAGCTTTGTGAAGGGGTAATTTTGTTTTGGCTTATTTTAAAATCATACTTAATAGAAGATGAGAGGATCTGTGATCCACAAGCAGTGGTGGCCGTGAGGCTTCCCGGTTCTTACTCTAAATATCCTAGCAAAGAGCCATCCTCAGTGCTGGCTCCAACACCTAAAACAGTGCCCATGTAGAGGGAACTGCTGTTTCTGGTTTTCAGCCCCCTTCCTGCATATTTCACGATTTCCCCATCACTCTCACCCTCAAGATTGGCAAAATTTTCCATGAGATTCATTTCTCAAAGGAGGAGCAAACATGATTTTCTACATGTGGTATTTTTTATTGTGCTTTGTTATCATTCTGTGCTGGCGATGTGCAGCAGCAAAAATACTGGATCCTTGGCATTTTGCTCTCCTGGGGGAAATTGTAAAATGTGGAGATGTCAGAGCATCCTCCCCGGGGACATCTACTAGACATTGCTGCGGGTAGCTCCGCGACCATCTGCTTGGCATCGATGCCCACTTTGTGGCACAAAGGGCAGTTTCTTGAGGGAATGCAACTGTTTATATGAATGTGCTTACCCTTTCTAGACAGCCCAGACAGCAGAGCCCTCTTCATTTCTGTTTGAGATTTGTTTTCCCTGTAATCAGAGGAACTAGAACAGGAAGGATAGTTTCTACTGATTGAAGCAAATTCATAAATACACATGGATCAAACCGTAAACACAGGTGGTAAACCACCATGTTGCCTATCATGAGGGTGATTCCTTGAATTAGATGACGCTGTTTTTCCTCAGTACTTCTTAGAAAATGGGAATTTTCCATTCAAGGAAATGAATGAGGCCTCTTACCCTCACATACTCTAACTCTGATTAGAGTTGGACATCAGCTGTCTCTTCTTGTTACTTGCAATGAAATCTCAAGTGTCCTAATATATCTTCGTCACTAGAAGTTCCTTTGTTTTATGGAATTTTTTATTTTTGCTTCATGTGGTAATTCCATACACATGTGTCTCCCTTCCAAGAGCATGCTCCCTGATCCATCAGCTACCTAGAGCCTAGTTCTCCACTACAGTCCAAAACTTTTTTTTTAATATTAATTTGAATGAAGTGACATTGCTTTATAACATAATAGAAGTTTTGACCATAGTAGAGAAGGCCTGGGATTGCATGTATTTTATTGAGAAGAGATTCCAGGAAGCACCAGTGAGAGAGTAGAGAAAATGAGACAGGGAAGGGAGGGAAGCTGCTAAAAATATAACATGGGCTACCCCTGTGGGAAAGTGGGGCTCATTTCCACTGGGAAAGCAACAAGGAACCCTGTGGAATATACCTTACGATTATCCCTTCAAGGGACAGGGAAGCTGGGGGATTCATCCACCAATTCCAAAACTCATTGGCTGAGGATTGCTCATAAGCATATGAGTTCCCCAGAAATCCCAGTGTTCTCTGTCCATAAGCTGAGCTCACACATCACCAGAAAAGTCCTTAATTAGAGAAGCCAAGAGACGCAGGTACTTGAGGTGGGAAGCTGCCAACATGTGAGTAACTGCTCATCCTGCTGCAGGTAAATGCAAAGGTGTGCCAGAGGTAACAGGCAGTGTGACATTAAGTAGCATCTGGCACGGGAGGGTTTGTTTGTTTGTTTGTTTGTTTGTTTTGGTCATGATGAGGAAGGGGCCAAAATAGGATTAGAAAGGATAGTGAGGAGCAGTTTATTATTGACCCAATAACAACAACAGTAACACCTTCCATTCAATAGATCCAAATTTAAATTTGTAAGCACCAGAGAGAGAAAATCAAAGATTTTCTCAGAGATCACGCTCCCACACCAGGAATTATGGGAAATTCCATTTTCTTCCTACCCAGTCACTGATGGCATGATTGTGTTTTCCCGCAGCTACCTGCTCCCTGATGATAACAAAGCCACCAAGCACAAAACCCTGGTGGTGAAAAAGAGTGTTAATCCTCAGTGGAATCATACTTTCATGTTCACTGGCCTGTACCCCCAGGATATAAAGAATGTCTGCCTAGAACTTACCATCTGGGACAAGGAGGCCTTTGCCAGCAACATCTTTCTGGGAGGAGTTCGTTTAAACTCTGGAAGCGGTGAGGGACTTGGTGACTTGAGGTGGTTTGTGACTGGGCACAGGACAGGGGAGGATTCCTGCAGGTGTGACACCTGGAAGGTCTGTATGTAGCTGGACCCCTGCAATGCCCACAGGTGCTCCGTTCCTATTGCTAAGGAATCTGTTTGTTGTTAAAACACTACTACATAATTTGTATCCTTGGGGTAGAAGTTTGGGATGTCTACTGTTCATGTTTGGTCCTTTCAAAGAATGTCATTTACACTTTAGTGGAAATGAGTTTCACCTCCTTTCTTGGGCCTTCGGGTTTTGCTCAGAGGGGTATAGCAAGACAGTGCAGCCTTCTGATGGGGTAGAGGGGGCTTCCAAGACCAACTTTCCTCCATCCTCTTCTCAATTCTGTCCAGCACTTGTAGTCATTATCTACTTGGTTGAATTGAAAAGAAATCAGTTATTTTCCCTAAAAAAATAACATCTAACATTGCAAACAGGTCGTGGAATCAGACCACAGTTGCCACAAGACACAACAATAACAGGGTGAATGGTGGAGGGAGGGATTACAGTATTAGAACATCTGCACCCCCACTGAACCCCCTTAGCTTAAGCCAGTCATAGATGGTCGGCAAGCACAATGGTGAACAGGAGCCTCCCATGATGCTGATTTACAAATAAAGGAGAGCTGGGAGTAACCTGTGCCAGTAAAATAATCTGAGAAATTTGGAAGGGGGGGAACCTCAGCTCAGCTTCACCCTGTTCTCTCATGTTGACTCAGCTCAGATGAGCCAGCTCTGCTAAACTGCCCAGGAGGGAAAGAAATGAGCCATTAGTGCCATCCTGGTTTGTCTCTCATTCTAGGCAGGTGACAGTATGCAGGCCGCAGAGGGCGTGTTCCGTTCTAGCACCCCCACTAGCTGTGTGAGAAGTCAGTGAAGTGCTTTGGTCAGAAGTCCCCTTCAGAGGTGGACTGGTGCCTTCCAGAAAATACAAACTTTTCAGCTGTGAAGGGTAATGCTCCCCTTTCCCTTCTTTAGGTGTGAGCCATGGAAAGACTGTGGATTGGATGGATTCTCAGGGGGAAGAGCAACGCTTGTGGCAGAAGATGGCAGATAATCCGGGGACTCCTGTAGAGGGTGTGCTCATGCTCCGCTCCAGCATGGGGAAATGTAGGCTCTAAAGGTACACTTCTCCATGAATAAGGCTCCTGGGACCGACTGGCTGCCATTTTCCACCAGTATCAGACTTGGACCTGGTATTTTGCTTCCATGACATTTTTCACCTGAGGGTATTGGGACATGTGGAGAGAGATGTCAGTGTTAAAAAAAAAAAATTAGGGTCTTGCCAAGTGTTTAAAAAACATGTAGCTTGCCATGCTATGAGCCAGGGTATTCTTGATTGGATGATAGAAAGTGCAGCGCACTGTGTGCTCAACGAGCAAATTGTGTGATGATGCATGTAAAGGAACTGGTGCAAGTGTATTTGAAACTACATTTGAAAATGGGGGCACCCAACCTTTTACTAGATATGAGTTACTTTAGGTTTCCTCAAATGGTTTGCAGGAAAAGGGAGTCACTGAGAGCGTAGACCACTTGAATAGTAGGAAGAAGGGATGCTAGCCACCCTTCCTCACCCTGGGATTCCCATGATCCATTGTAGGGATGTTTGCTGGGTGAGGGGGTAGACCTGTTATTGTGACAATCTTGTGGATTAAACAGGTAAGTTTTTAAGATGAATTGACAGGTTTTTCTGTGGTGACTACAGAATTTATAATCAAAGTCAGCCCACTTTTGAGAATGAAGAGAGCTAAATCATTACATCAGAACAACAGATGTAAACCAGAATTGACCTGAGAAAATTGGGTTGCAGATTCACCATAGTTATCACCTAACTATTTAAAAGTTCTGTGGTAAACTTTTTTTTTTTTTGAAAATTCCTAAGCCACTAACTGAGAGGGAATGAGAAATAATATGGTTTTTCGGCTCTGCTTGTGTTGTATCTACTGAGGTCCCACAGGTCAGAGGAAGTTACGAGACCAAGCCCAACATCAGGAGGCAGGGAGGTACTCTGTTCACAGTAAAGCCATGGCAAGAGAGAAGGAGCTGGAAGGGATGAAGAATCAGGGCCAGTGATTCAATTTACCATACCTTCTGTCACCTGGAATCCCAGATGCCTTACCACACTTAGATGCGCAGGTAGTTAAAACTGAAAGGGGACCTCAGACCTGGTTGCTTATTTTGCAGTTTCCAAACCTGAAACCAGGAGAGCTGAAATGACTGGCCCAAGGTCATATAAAGGCTATAACTGTATACAGACTTAAATGCAGGGTTGGTCTCCAAACTTTGGCATGATCCCATGCTTATCAGAATGGACAGGAGGACATTAGCTGTACTTGTTTATCATTATTAATGTCCATCCCCAGGGCGATCTTGTTAAAAAAAAAAAATGCTAATCTGTAAAAAAAAAAAAAAAAAAAAAAAAAGCTTTAAAACCCTCCATGACTTTCCATTGCTCTGAAAATAAAGACCCACATTCTTGCCCACCCCTGCCTAAAACAGTTGCTGCCCCCTCTCCAGCTGGCCCAGGCCAGGCCAAGCCAGGTCTCCCCACCCCTTCCCTTCTCCTCAGCCACTCTGTGTTCTTCTGCTTCTCAATTGTGTTAGGCTCTATCGCATCCGGCCTTTTCAGGGAATCTTCTTACTCCCCCTCCTGGTGGCCTAATTTCCATTAATCACCCAGGTCTTAAATGTTACCTGCTCAGGGAATCCTCCCCTGATCACCCTCTGTCTAACTAGGTCACAGCAGCCTGCCTCTATTTCCCCTTCACTGCACGCATCACAATTATAATAAATTATTCTCATAACGAATCCTTTAATGCCTGTGTCAGTTCCCTTCCCATAACATCTCCAGAACATACGCGTCATAAGAGCAGAGGCAACACTTCTGTAGCTTATATTTATGTTCTGTATCTCTGTCCCCTGTGCTTGGTTCAGAGTGGAAGAAGTGAAGAAAAGCCACCATCATAGAATATTAGGCCAGTACGCATCTTTAGAGACTGCTGTTTGTAACTTGCAATTAACAGAGGTGGAAGCTGGGGTCCACACAGATCAAGAAAAATATCAGCATGTGCTTACTGGTTGATCTTTTAAAAGCAAACTTTCCATAGAAGTACTGCAGTCACAGCTCTAGGCAGTGTGTTCCAGTCCGCCTTGACGCTGGTAAAAGCACAGGCTGCCTTCTTCTGCCTGGCTTATCAGTTTCTTGGGAGAAGAGACCCCAGCCATGCTTGGATCTTCCTGTTCCTTGTTTAGAGATCTCAACTCTCAATTTTCCCTCACTTGAACCAGACAAATTGCAAAGGCCTCACTTTATAAATTCAGTATGTAAATAGCATCAGCAGGTCACTCTCACTTCACTTATGTTGTTACTGGCACTGGATCCATCAGGATGTACTTTTTTTCCAGGTCACAAAAACAAAGATAATTTTGATGGGACTTTGTATTCTTGGCCTTCATTTCCATAAGGAATGTGCACAAATATATGATTAGGAACCATTAAGTATTGTAACTAATAAATTAATTGAATATATCTCATTTAGAGTATTATTAGTTTCATCATCACCATTCCAAAGTTTATATTTGGTAGGGAAGGAGGAAGCCATGGAAGAAATAGGTTAACCCCACTTCTAGAAAGAAAGCAGGTTGCAATATCAACCCCCAGAAACACCTCAGAGTGAAAGCCTATGGCATTTGGGGTGTGGTCAGTGTTTTGTTTTGTTTTTTCTTCCAGGTAAATAGTTCACAGTAAACTGAGTTGCCTCTAGAACCTGGCAGAAAGACTTTACTCCTCCTCCTACATGGTCATTTTTGACCTCTGGAATTAAAGAAAAGCAGGAGAAAGTCTACATAGGTAAAGCAATGGCAAAAAATGTATCTGGCAAGGTTTGAACAATAGTCATGGAAGCTGGACCACATAAAAAATCCCAAAGGATTTTCTGAAGCATCTGAAATGTGAGTTTGTAATATGACTCCAGGGCATTGTTATAAACCTACAGAACAAGGATCTCCATCAATTTTTATCAAACTTTTTGGGTGATTATAATACAAATGGACCACAGTGTGACACTGAAGGGACGAATTATGTGGCTATGTTATTTAGAACAAATATATGTCACGGTGGCCCATTTGGCCAACCTGGACATTATTAATTGCATAGCACTAATGAGGAGATGGAAAGAACTTAAACTTGGACTCAGACAACATTAGCTCAAGTCTTGACTACTTACCAACCATGTGACCTCAATCTAGTTAATCGTCCAATGTAGATCTTGTTCTGGTTTTCTATAAAATAGGAATAATGAGAGTAATGGAAGATATTAAATGAGGTAATTTATCTAAAAATGCTTTGTAGATTTTAATCCACTGTAAAAAAAAGTCATTACTACTACTGAGCTAGTTCTACCACTCTGTGTTTCATATTCTTTGAGGCCCCCTTTTCTGGATGCTGATGTGGACTAACGGGTTCTGTGTGTAATGAAGCAGTAGATAGCAGAAGTATTCAGAAAACCCATTCTCCTGTGCTGTGTTACTCATTGTGGATAATAATTAGTGTATTTACATTCAGGCTGGAATTTCCAACTTTGTCTGATTAGATCACAGTTATTACAAAAAGTATTTGATGGAGAGAAAAATGGTGGTCAGATTTTTCTTAACTGGTATGGAGCGTACAAACAAGCCAGCTTTCCTTCTTCCACCCTGATGCCACCTACAGCCCTGCCTCAGCCCTGCCTGTCCCTCTGTGCAGCCCTGGCCTGCCCCCCACAGCAGGAAATCACACCTGCCTTTCTCAACGGCCTGTTTTTCTGAATACTGTTTTTTATCTGCAGAAGGAAACTCACCATTCTGTCAAAACAAGTCCCATAGAAATAAAAATTACTTCTGTCATTATGAGGAGAGGAGAAGGTCGTGCTTTTCTCTCCAGCATTTCAATGCAGGAGGAGAATTTGTTTTCTTTTTTCTCTGAATGAGGAAGAGGTTAACGCCACAAGCAAAGACAGTAGTTCATTACAATAATTAAAGAAAAAGTTGAAATCTTGGCATTTGCTGGAGAACAAAAAAGGTCTCTATAGAAAGGCAGAGAACTGGATATATGTGCTTAACTCTAGATATTTTACTTGTATCCTTTTATTGTTAGATCCACTTACTTTGGGGGAGGATGTTGCTCCTTCCTAACTTTTTTTCTACTTATCGAACAGTTCATTTTGTTTTCAGAAATTTGAAACTCGTTTGTGCAAAACCATGGAAATAGATGAATCCCAACAACAAAAATTGCTTCTGAATTACTCTTGTTTTGAAGCAAGGAAGCAAACCATTCCATTACCAAGCAGTTTATGTCAAACATTCATGGTTGAATGGTAGTTGGAGTGATAGTGGTTGACAATCTTTCCTTTTCCATCCTATTGTTCATTATTCATAAATGAACATTTTTGAACAGAATTCATTTGGCTTTTAGTTGTCATGAAGAAAGAGCTGTCTAGAATTTCCTGAATCTTCTTGCTTTTGACCTTTCCACACTGTCCCCACCCCCCATTTACTTTGTCCTCCTTAATTCCTAAATATCTTTTTACATTGTCCCACTGGGGACAATGTATGTGTCATAAACCAGAAACTTAAAAGAGATGCCTTTAATGCTTTTTCCACATGGATTGGTGGAAAATATTATTACTAATGTTCAACTCTTTTCTGTCACCTCCAACCCCATCTATTGGAGTTACTTGGCTTGCAAAGTGTCTGAATGCACGGAACCAGTTGGACACTTCCAAGACAGCCAAATTATAAGGCCCACTAAACATCCCTGAAAAGGTAATGAGGTGGAGAGCTCCTCTTGGGAAGAGAAGAGTGTTAGCAGGAAGAGTAATGTCTGCTTGAGTGGATAAGTGAGGAAGTACCTCGTGCCTGAAGAACAATTCATGGTAGATAAATTCTCAGGAAGATGGGTCTGGTTAGAGGCATGGTTTTTGTTTTACTGAATGGAGTATACAATTTGAACCAGACATGAATTGCTAATGACATAGGGGAAAGGAAGTGTGAAAAAAAGGAGTGTGTCTCCATTGGGGATTTCTTTTGAATCCCTTCCACTAGGCAGTTGTTCCTGAAAATAAATGTAAAACTATTTAAAGAACATCTGAGAGGGACACCCCATCATTAGTACAAGAATTAGCCCAACTCTGAATGCACTGGGGCCCCAGTCCTGGATTCAATGTACTTGTCACAGGCGGGTTGTTTTCCTCTGGGCCTGATGAGGAGTCCAGGTTTAGTGAGCCAGAGTAGGAAGTAACACTTTCAATATCCAAAGAACAGCTGAAGACCACTGGATCGCTGGGACATTGGAATGGGGGCCCTCTTTGGGAAAACATTATAGAGTAATTTTCCAAACTCTGCCAAAGGCTGGGTCACCGACACGTGTTCATTTCTCTTTTGTTCCTGACACCCACCACATCTGGCTGCCAGTGAACTGTACTCCTACTCTGATAGGAAGTTGCTCTTCTTTGTCTGTCTGGTTTTAATGAATGGACTTCATTTCTTAGAATAGTATTAGATTTATTTTAAAAAGTTGAGCAGAAAGTACAGAGTTCCCATATACTATAGCTCCTTGTCCCTTCAAGTTTCTCCTATCATTGACATCTGGCATTGGTGTGATACATATATTACAGTTGTCGAACCAATATTGGCCTATTAATTAAAGTCCATAGTTTACATTAGGCTTCCTTCTTGGGTTTTCACAATTACTTGATCATACAAGCATAGATATATTGCCCTAGAAATCCCCTCTTCACAAACCCTTGGTAACCACTGGAATTTTTTCCTGTCTCCATAGTTTTGCCTTTTGTATTTGGAGTCATATGATATGCGGTCTTTTCCAACTCAATTCTTTCACTTATTAATATGCCTTTATGGTTCTTCTATGTCTTTTTGTGGCTTGATGGCCATTTTTTTTAATTGTGGTGAGTGAAATGATATATTATCTTTGTTTTTGAATAGAGAGAGAAAAGGATGGAAGAACTCTAAGTAACAATAACAACTTTTTAAGAAATTCCCTAGAGATGATGGGAGGTTTGCTTTCACTTTGCTAGGTTTTTATTGGTTGATTGATTGTTGGCGACAAACACATATATCCTATTTACTTGTCTTCCCGTGTTTAGTGCAAAATAAGTAACAATATGTAAGTGCTTAACATGTCTGTCTCTAAGCTTCTGTACGGACTGTGTACCCCAGACCAAAGCGTTGTTCCACCCTGTACTTGCTGCAAAGTGTACTGTCTTTTTCATTAAATTCACTTTCCGAACAGCTAATATGTTCTATTACAAGTTATCCTTGAGTTCTTGAGATGGATTGTGTACCCTTATATTGATTGTATGTCACCTTTTCCTCTTGTTTTTATTCTTATTTGTCTTTGGAGAAAAACACATCCGCTGAATTAACACACACATTTGCATGGGTGTCTGGTTTCTATTTCCAAGGCTGGGATGATGTTGAATTCTTCTGAGTGTTCAGCTCTTGATTTTACCCCTCATTTTGGTTTTGGCTCACCCCTCTTCCTGTAAATCTAAACCATGACACCATCTTCCCTTGCCCTACCCTGAATAAATTGTGGGTAGTGACTAGGGAAGGGATCGAAAATGACATTTATTGAGCACCTACACTGTATCAGGTGCTGTACAGCTTGTTGGCTAATCTAATAGCTGGTTTTTAAAAAGGCAAAGGATCACAAAATTATTTGAGTTTCAGAGAAGTAACTTACTCAAGTTACCCAGCTAGTATGTAATAGTACCTCATTCCACATGAACCCTCCCCCACAGTTCAGATTCCAAAGCCCATGCATGCTCTTTGTACTTTACTAAACTGTACCCCAGATACAAAGTCTGTGTTTGCTGTGAGCTGGCACCTTGCTTCTCAAAGTTGCGAGTCATGAGCCGGCATCCTCAGCCTCACCTAGGAACTTGGAAATGAAGAATGGTTGGTCCCAAGCCACACCCACTGAATCAGAATGCTCATTACTAGATCCTTAATTGAGGCTCAAGTCTGATAAACAATGGGAAGCATTTGGTATAAAGAATATGGCAGAATGCACCTTGTACCTGAGACTGTTGCTTGTTAGTTAGTAAAAATCATAGTCGATGTGAACATTGGCCTAAAATACTACACCTACCAGTCTTGTCTTTGAGCCTCTTCCTCCATTTTTGATTTCTTCCCCATAAACACGTGCTCTGTTACTAATGTCTATTTTATCCCTGTGTTCTGTCACTATTTTGAATCCATTCCCTGGGTGTACAGTTTAACCTTGCTTCAGAATAGTTGGAATGAAAGACCTGGATGTTTTTTTTTTTTATTCTAGATGAGTTTTCCAACCTGCTAAATCCAATGAAGATCAACTGAATCTGGATAAAATCTCCTCTAAACCTGAAGAGGTAGAGCCCATGGAAACTTTATTCCATAATACTGGTCAAACATCTTCTAGATGATATCTCTTCTACTTTCAGTCAGAATTTAGCTCTCGTGTTACTGATTATAATCAGGTACAGATACCAGTTGTGCTTGGGCAGGCTAGTGAAAAATGTGAGTCTAAGCCAAGAATACATCCTTGTTAATCCAGCCTTGAAAGAGGAGAGTATATTTAAAGAACACTGGGTTGGAGGCTTAGGAGACCTCACCGTGGATTTTGAGCAAGACATTTCCTCTCTGTAAGTCTCAGTTTTCTTATCTGTAAAATGGAGGCCTTGGACTGAGTGACCGCCAGTGTGCCCCTCAAGCGCTAAAGTCTGCAACACCTTGCACATGCTTGAATTCACTTACTCAAAGATGCCTTTTATTGTAAAATGCAACATTAGTCCATATGCTGCTACACGGGAGACACTCTGCCATTTATAACTAAGTTATCATTCTCGTGTAATGTCTGTCTTTCTATATTTTCTCTTTACCTTTCTTCAGTCGGCTTTCTGTCCAAGAAAGCAAACCTTAATGACTTGCTTCAACAGGGGCTCTCCAGCCCTGTGGATTTTGATTGGGTTTGACCAAAGGCCAGGATCAGTAGGAGATTGAATGATAGGGTGGAAAGTGAGATTGATACAGTTATTCCCCTGGCTCTTTCTTGCTGAGTAATGAAGGGACAGCAGTTGCATCTCTGTCAGGGCTGTAGGTGTTGCCAGGTGGCCCTCTCCTCCAGCTACAGCTGTAGTAAGCACCTCTGCTTGCCTTCTGGTCTAGGAGCTCTAAGTCTCTCTGCTGTTGCTAGCCTTGCCATTCCTTGTTTACTTTCTCGTAATCCTGACGTCACCTTTATAAATACCTCATTTACCTATCTTTCTTCCATGTCACAGTCAGGTTTAGTGCTCCATTTATTTCCTGCTGGGACCCTGGTTAATAACATAATTGGTATCAGGAGTATCCTTAGGCTCACAAAACAGAATTTTATGTTTATGTTGCTCACATATTTGAGAAGCAATCCCAGCCCTTTAGGTACTTAGTAAATATTACTTTGAATGATGGGGGGAATGATCTTTTGATCCTAGTGCCTCTAATCTCTAGAAAAAATATCAGGAAGCCATAAATCAAGAGGGATTTCCCATTTATATTCTCCGTAATGTGCGAACATTGCCATTTAAAATACATATACTCTCGGGCCTCCCTGGTGGTGCAGGTGGTAGAGCACAGCACTGTGAAGTTGTCCACAGCCTCAGTGCGGGTTTGATCCCAGCTGGCCTCGGAGATACCCACATGGCACAACGGGCCTCTCCTGTCTTGCCCGCTGCTCCCCTCAGCAGTGTATTTCATCAGTCTGCCTGCTCTGTTCCCCACTCTCTCTTTGGTGAATCCTCTCACCCTCCCGCACATCTGGCCTGTACCCCGGTTATTATATGCATCAATAAATAAATCTTTAAAATACATATACTCTCTCAAGAAGATCTCCCATGCTCTCTACACAGACACTCCTACTGCTGATTATATTTGCTGGTAGCAATGAAAACAAAGCAGTTTCCCAGTCAGTACTGGGGAACCATGTACTAAAGGTTTGATCACTTTGCTTTAGTGAAGATGGCACATTTGGAGTGGCATGGAATGAATCAATGTTCTCCCTGTCATATGAATGCACTGCTGTATTTAAACTCAAAGATTACGTTAATGATATCTCCTCTATCAGGAAACTCATTTTACAGTGAAGAAAGTTCTGTGAAGAAAGTACTGTGAGCTATTGATAAGGAATTCAGTGGTCTTACCATATGTCTCCTCATCTCCAAATAGCTGGTTTGAGGAAATAATGGCGTGGCTTGCTCAAAGCTCGTTACAGAATTAGCTGATTGAGTCTACTTGGTGAGGCTGGGCAGATATCTTATATGATGTAGTATATGCCTTGAACCAACAGCCAAAATATGGTACTGCCTGCCTTATAGCCTAAAGGGTTCAGGGACATGGGTTCAGGGACCAAGATGTAAAGCTGGGGGCGATCCCTCTCATTATTACATCTAATATCCTACTTAAGAATTTTTTTCTGAACCAATGTAGACTGGTCCAGGAAAAATATCTTAAGTGGGGTAGTAGGTATAATAACAAGAGAGACCATTCCCAGCTCCAAAGTAGACTGGTCTAGTTCCTACGGAAAACACTGTGGCGGTTTCTCAGAAGACTGAAAATGGATCTGCCATATGACCCAGCAATTCCATTCATAGGTGTCTACTCGAAGAATACAAAAACACTACTTTGAAAGAAGAATTGCATTCCCTTATTTATTATAGCACAGTGTAAATAGCCAAGCTATGGAAACAACCTAAGAACCCAAAAACAGATGAGTGGATCAAGAAGATGTGGTATATGTACACAATGGAATACTACTCGGTGATGAAAAAAGATAAACTCATGCCATTTGTGGCAACATGGATGGAGCTGGAAGGGATTATGCTCAGCAAAACATGGGAAAAGACAAATACTGGATGGTGTCACTTATATGTGGAATACAGAGGAAACCAAATGGTCATATAAAGTCAAACTTAGAAACTAGCCCTTTAAAGTTGACTATAGAACCGAACCACCCAGAGGGGACAGGGAGAGGTGAGAACTAAGTATGGATGGAGCACAGTGGACTGTGGTGAGGATTAGGGGCGCTTTGGTGGTGGGTTCACTACAGTGACTACACCTGAGGGGGATAATCCTGTACTTCCAAAATACTAACAAAAATGTCAACTATTGTACTTCAATAAAGAATTTTTGTTTTTGATCTCCATGGATTGGGGTTCAATGAGGCTAAGTGTTCTAGTGCCCAAGGCCAGATGCTTACCTAGGAAGCCTCTGTTACACTGGAAGGTGAGAATCCTTTTGGTAATCAGGGTTCAGAAAGTTTTCTTCAGGGCTAAATAGTAAATAGTTCAAGCTTTTCAGGGCATCTGGTTCTCATTCTGATTACTCTTCCCTGCTGTTGCGGAGCAAAAGCAACCCTGAACAACACACACAAAAATGTGTGTGGCAATGTTCCAGTTAAAACTATTTTTAAAACCAGACAGCCAACCTGTGGGCTGAGTTTGCTGACTTGTGCAGTAGATGACGTGGATGTAAGACTTCTATTCGAAGAGGAGAGTAGATGCTGGGAGTGAAAAGGAATGCACTATGCTGAGTGCTCTCTGTCCCGCCAGCCCCACTCACTCTGCCATTTTCCAAACTACTTTGTGCTTTGCTCCTTTGTCCTCTGGGTTTCAGTTGGGTTTGGCCAGTTGGAGCCAACCCCAAAGAGACAATGGAAAGTTCTTCTTAGCTCAGCATCCTTAGGGTGGCCATGGTAAAGCGGTGTGTCTGTTTAAGCAAGATAGGCAACTGTCACATTATACATTATAACAAAGAGCAATAGAGATGATGTAGCATTTAGATCAGAAAGTAAACTGTTCTCTCTGTCATGAATGTGTGGCCATATTTAAACTCAAATTATTACAGGAGATTAGAGGGCAGGAGAAAGGTCAGGGTGTTTATTCCTTGGCTCTCCCCCTGCTCAGTTGAAAGTTATTAAAGGCTGTGCTGCTACTACAGTTCCTTTTAGGTGGTCTCTGCAAAACTGAACCTGTACTTCTCTCTGGGTTTCCACAATCCCTCTGTTCCCTTGACTTTCAGGCCTGGACTGGTAAATATCCTCTGGTGTAGCTAGCCTTGAAGGACTTCAGCATCCCTTCTTGAGTTCCCCTCATCATGCTTACATCATTATAAATAATCCTTTGATTATGCCCCCTTCAATTCCCCTTTGGGTCTTCCATCTGTTTCCCCCTGGGACTTTGACTAAGAATGGTGTCATTGATAAACTCCCTTCTTACGAGATGTTAAAATGTGAACCCAAAAATATCCATCTTAGGATCAA